CCCCCCCCCCCTTCCCCCCAAAAAAAAAGAATAGCTGCAGATGAAGCCAATTTTCTAGGCATTTGTTAGAGGCCTGAGATCATCAAAATTGGAACTAATGTTAAGACCACTTCACTTGAATCCAATAATATGGAACCATTCCAAAAATTTGGAAAAATCTGACACTAATCAAGTTCCAAGTTTCTTGTTTTCACAGGAAGTTTGGATTTGTTGGAAAATTGCTATTTTTGGGTCCACCTATAAGGAATGCTAATTAGTCCCTTAGTTCTAGCCTATATAAATATTACTATGGGTATTGAAAAAGAGAGATTTTTCACTAGACTAGAAACGACTCGGTTTTACATACCAAAAGGTTAATTTCTGTATCAACTAGATTTTTAGGCCGTAAAAATAAGAGAATTCATCCGTCTTATGAGGATTCCCGACGATAGGTGACACAAGTTGTAATTGCTGCCAATCTGTTTCCGCAACGGAGAACCCATAAGTCTGCTAAACTAGTCTTTACAGTTAAATACTTCAAGATTGATTCGTGTAAGAATCGTTAACTAATTATCAATTATACCATAATTTGGATTTGTGAAATATTGGGTCATAAAGTTTTATTTCGTATCTCAAATTAATATTTACTTTTCAATATCATAACTGATAACCTCAAGTATGTAATCAGCTAATTAACAAACCTTAAAAGATCAAGTGAGTTGGCATATATGTTCTTCTTTTTTTCTTTCAAATAAAAACTTTAGTGGTGCCGAGAGTGAGGAAATATTAGACTTTTGGTAATTTTTCCTTCAACCAAAATAAAAAAATCTCATTGAAGCAGCTAATCCCATGCATAAAACGCGATAAAAACAAAGGCAGAGAACGAATTACCTAATCTGAACAAGCAACGCAAGTTTCTTTATTCTGAATTGGGAATTATCGCTTATCAGATAAATTCAATATAATAAACCAGAGGCGTATCCAGACTATAAAGTTTATGGGTTCCTATAACGATCTCAAGTTATCAATTGGGTTCACAATCAAATATTTATAAATATTTTAATGAATTTTTTAATCAATATACAACGACCGTGCAAAAGCTACTGGGTTCTCGGGAACCCGCACGTTACCCTCTAGATCCGCCACTGTAATAAACGCCTATTGACATTCAAGCTTATGTCCTTAAATTTGGTCAATGTTTTAATATCACATTAATTTGATCAATAGCTTTCTAAAATCTCAAGCTAGGCCGGTGCAAGAATGGTAGATATGCTGATGTTTCTTTGTTTAGGATTGAAAAGGAAAAAAAAAGTTGGAGATAGAGATATATAATGCATCTTTAATTTTACTGCTAAAATCACGTAAAATTTAATAATAAACATACATATTGTTACAACCCATATCCACATGTGTTAGTTCATGCCATATATTAGTTAACATAAATCCA